AAAAAAAAAAAAAAAAAAAAAAAAAAAAAAAAAAGCAAAAAGTTCATGGAAAAATAGAATTAAAAGATATAATATATACCAAAATCAACTCAAAATGGGTTAAAGACAAATGTAAGACCAGAAACCACAAAACTTCTAGAAGACAACATAGGTAAAATACTTAAGGACATAGGACTGGGCAAAGATTTTATGAATAAGACTTCTGCAGCATGGACAACAAAAGCAAAAATGGACAAATGGGATTATATCAAACTAAAAAGCTTCTGCACAGCAAAGGAAGCAATCAACAGAGCAAAAAGACAACCTGCAGAATGGGAGAAAATGTTTGCAAACTATGCATCTGACAAGGGATTAATATCCAGAATATACTAGGAATTCAAACAACTCAATAGTAAAAAAAACAAATAATCTGATTAAAAAGTGGGCAAATGAGTGGAATAGACATTTCTGAAAAGACATAGAAAAGATCAACAGGTATAAGAAAAATACTCAATATCACTAACCATCAGAGAAATGCAAATCAGAACCACAATGAGTATCACACCTCACCCTAATTAGAATGGCTATTATCAAAAAGACAGAAAATAACAAATGCTGATGAGGATACAGAGAAATGGGAGCTCTTATATACTGTTGGTGGAATGAAAATTAGTACAGCCATTATGGAAAACAGTATGGAGGTTCCTCAAAAAACTAAAAATAGAACAACTAAGATTTGGAACCAACCTGAATGTCATTCAATGGATGACTGGATAAAGAAAATGTGGTATATATATATACACACAATGGAATACTACTCAGCCATTAAAAAGAATGAAATTCTGCCATTTGCAGCAACACAGATGAGCTTGGGGAAAATTATGGTAAAGTGAAATAGCCAGGCACAGAGACAGAAATACCACATTCTCACTCTTATGTGGAAGCTAAAAAAGTTGATCTCATGGAAGTAGAGAGTAGAATAGTGGGTACTGAAGGCTGGTAAGGAGAGGGGAGATGGGGAGAGGGTGGTCAATGAATACAAACTTGTAGAGATAGGAAGAATAAGATCAAGTGTTCTATAGGAATAAAGGGAGACCACAGTCAACAGCAATTTACTGTATAACTTCAAGTAGCTGGTTGAGAAGATGTAGAATGTTCCCAACAGTAGGGGGTGACAAATGTCTGAGGTGATGAAAATGCTAAATACCTCTATATTATCATTGTGCACTGTATAAATGTACCCATATATCACATTATACTCCATAAGTATGTAAAATTATCATGGGTCAATTAAGAAAAAATAAATTAAAAAGAAAAATATTTCAGAGACAGAAATAGATAAGAAGTTACCAGAATCGGGGGTGGGGTAGATTAGGGGGTGAATAATGAGAAGTTATTCCTCAATGGGTACAGAGTTTATGTTTAGGATGAAAAAAAGGTTTTGGAAATAGACATAGGTGCCAATTCCACAGCATTGTGAATATAATTCCACGCAACTGTATATTTAAAAATGCTTAAAATGGCAATCCTTATGTTATATACGTTTTACTACACTAAAAAAAATTGGAAAAAAAAAAAGATAACACAAATCTTTCCAGAAACTTTTTGAAGTGCCCTCACATTATACTGAAGAAATCTATTTAGCAGATTTTCATTTCCAGGAACATAGCACAATCCAATAAACTATGAATGAAGCCAACCTATGGCTAAAAAAGAAAGTTGTATCTAGGTTTTAAAAGCCAAATCTTAACTGTACTTTGATTACTCAGAAATCTCATAAGATCTAGTTAGCCTAGCAAAATGAATGAGAATTTTAGATAGTACACATGACTAAAAATTAAATCTCAAATTTAAAAGAATTTGGTTACTGTGATAAGTATTCAGATACTACAGATTTCAACTTACATGTTTTGAAAGTAAAACTGTACGGCAAGGAACTTTACAAATCAAGCATTCATCCTTTTTACCTATAAAATAAAAACAGGTATTATTATATTACACTGATTAGTGCTTTTAAATATGTTTAAATTCAGACTTGAAATTACAATGCTTCTTCAAGAAATACACAGGATTATAGCACTTTAATGTTTTCATGTTCAAACAGGATGAGGTTGGGGCTATGAATACAGTTGGAATCAATTATGAAATTAATTCCTTTTTTCCTGCTTTGCAATCTTGCCCAAAAATAATGACCAAAAAAGATCAACAATACTTAAGGTTAAATGTATCCCAAATATTTATTACAATTCAGTTTTATGGAGATATCTAAATTTAAAATTTCTAACTATTCAAAATGAAAATAACTCCTCCAACCCCACTCAAAAGATAAAATGAATTTTGTTCTGCCCCTCTCAATCTCACCACTACAACAACACCACAGAAGATGTCCAAACACCCAGGACAGACCACTCCTCCAGTCACCAGATACATGTTTTATTGAGCTCCTACTACCGGTATGCCACTGCTAGGGCCTAAGAATGAAAGGTTAATATGTCCTGCCTGCTAGCATGCATCTAATCCACCTGTGCTGTTTCCAGGGTCTCTGCCCCAGATCCAGAATGATTCTATCACCTACTGTACTGTCTTCCTCTCCCTGGAAAACCTGGACCTCCAAGTGGCCAGCAATTAACATCAGCCTTGCAGTTCCCACTTTGCCCTCCAGGGATGTCCATGAGCCCAAGTCAGCACCTCTGCCACGACCACCCACTGGACCCCCACACATCCAGGGCATCACTGTGAAAACCCAGAATTCCTCCCTACACTTCCAGCTCCTTCTCATCCGGGGCCTTGCCTCCTCCTCACACCGTTGAGCTTTACTTCTTCACTAGCCAGCTTGGAGCCCAGGCCCAACCTGTTGCTGTCGTAGTCTCCACAATCCTTTTTCTTCCAGGGAGCACGCCCAGACCAAACCTGTACGAGTCCAACTGCTGTCTTTCTTCCCCTCTTCTGGTCCAATGCAGCTAAGAACAGGGGGGGGAAACCACTTAACTGAGAGGTGGATCCATAGATTTGTGGATTCCAACATTGCTGAGTCTGCAACATGCTGGGCAATCCTTCTGTTTTTTGGGGGTATATCCCCCCCATTCCCTATAGGGGATGTTCCAACAAGCTCCCTCATATCATATACTGAGGAAAAAAGAAGCCCCTGGTTATGACCTACCTCAATTTCCCTGCTCTCTCCTCTAGACTTACATACCACAGAACAAACCAATTCACTCTGCCTCCTTTCTGCCTTGGGGAGGGGTCTCCTCCAGCCCAAGCCCAACCCTTCATTCATCTCTGTGTTCACACTCATCTCAGTATCCACAGCACTTGGCACATGGAATGGTGTCCCGGTGTGGAACGAGTGGTCCCCTTCTAAGAGCCTCCAGAATGATGTCCTTTCCTCTCTTCGTACAAGCACATTCAAGTCATGCTCAGCCTAAAAACATCCACCCTCAACAGTATGTTCTGGCCTCCTCTCTCTCTTCAACTGCAGATTCTGGGGCAAGAAAATTCCTCTTATGCACTATCAGTCAGAAGCCCTGCAACAGATTAACCCAGCGACTCATAAAAAATCTAAATTGGGGGAGAATTAAGAGACCTGATAGAGGAAATTATGTGCAGCTAACAGAAAGACGAAGGGTTTGATACATGGTACACAAATAGCACTTAGAAGTTAATTAAAAAGTATCACTCCAATAAAAGGCTGTGAAAGGACCCGAATGAGCAATTAGCAAAAGTGCAAATAGCCAATAAATATCTGAAAGGAAATCCAAGGCCACTAATAAGAGATGCAAAAGGAGAGGACAACGGCACTCACGAGTAGATGCTGGGAATACAGATGGACACACCCTTTCTGGTAACTACGCAACCTTAAAAAAGATGATACTAATTTATTTTAACACGGAAAGAGATCCATGTCTCAGTAAACAATAAAAGTAGATAACTAGATGATACAGTGCATCATCTTTGTTTGAAAAATTTGCACCTGTAGAAAAAAGTCTGAAAGCATCAGCACCAGAGCGTAAGGAGGGCTTACCTCTGAGCAATGGACCACTGGCAGAGCTACAGAGCTACAGTCAGGGATCTGCCCAGAGGCCCATCCATCCCTTTTCACAATTCTTTGTCCCTGGATTCGGTGTGCTTCCATTGCGCAAAATGCTTCCAAGGCGCAACATCTGTGGCTTTTTGAGGGAAAGAACTGAGGCTACTAGAACCCGTGCTGGCCTCAGGCTTCAAGAGCCACAAGTACCTGGAAATCGACCCCCCGCCCCAGCCCTTAACCTGGGTATTGCTGGCCTCAAAAGCCAGGGCACTCTGAGCCTTGGCATGGCAGCACCCAACCACGAACGCCTTTGCATCTCCATCAGTCTAACATTACCTCAGGTCGCCTGTGATCCGTCACTAGCCCAGGGACACTTCCAAACATCAGTTATCTGACTCCACTGGGATGTCCACCTCATCAACACCTCTGCTTTATTTTTTTACCCAACATCTTTCTCCTATCTTTACTCACTGTCTTCAGAAAGATGCTCTCCACAGGGCTCTAACCTTACCTCCTTCCTCCTCCGTCTTCCGCACTCTGCACACTCCTGAATCTGGGCCCATGACCTCCCGGCCAGTGGCTCCCCAAGCGCGTTCCAGGCCGTCTGCACTTCCAGACGCCAGCGGCACACACGAGCTCGGGAGCCTCCCCCTCAGCCCCGCGCACGCCGCTCCCCCACCCCCTGGGCCGCCCGGCCGGTTCCCTCCACAGCCCCCGCCG